AAAAAAAGCAAGGTTGTCAAAGTGACAGAGTCAAAACGTTGTGGAAATGCTTCTCGGACCAACATAGAAGCAATTAGTACACTAAACCAAACTATTCTAATAATTATGGACGCATGCATCATATTAGTAAATCTGCCAACGCGATAAATCACACAAATTCTCGCACAAATCGCTTTGCTACGACACAAAACAGCCAGGATCTCCTGCTGGAGATACGAGAACAGGGTAGGGAAGGCGTAACCGCACCAAGCATGAGGCTTCGCACAGGAATAAAATGTCAAGAATACCGAAGAAATGACGACTGTACCAATATAAATGGTACCCCATTCACTCATTCTTTTGCCCGCTTTGTCGCGCATAGTCTGCTTAGCCGGCTCGTGAAGGGTCATTAAGATTGACCCATTGTGATAATAACTACATTACGGCATGTCTGTATAGCTTTGGGGTTTAACCACGCCCCACACCTCGTCATATCTACCACTGCACCACCGAGTGCAGGCCGACCTGATAGATCCAACTATATTTGTGTAGAAACTTACACACACGGACCTGCCATGCACCTGGTTTCACTGGGCACACCACAAGCCATCTAAAGCCACCACATTTTCTGGTGCATCGGCCAAATCAGCCAATTGAGCGCCTTGTCATCGCAACTGAACGACAGGCTAGCCTGGCTAACCTTAAAACCAAACTTCCCAAACATTTTTGTCTTACCCTCAGCGGTAACGCAACAGGTTTTAAGCAACACCAACCTTACACTCCTCTCAGTCCTAAAACTTTGGAATCTAGTATACCCAGCAAAATTTTTCTGCTAAAGGCCACTTGCAGCCTTTTTACAACTTAACGGCAACAAAACAGCCGAAATCTTCAAGATCTTCAAGAAATCTTCAAGACAAAATCTTCAAGAAATTTTACAAAAATTATTTAAAAAAGCCTCTCCATTTTTATAAGAAGGCCATCTCTAACAGGTGTTCAAAAACACTCGCGACTTTACCTAAGAAACATAAGTTGTATGGTGATAAAATTGAGTATTCAGAGGACGATCAAGAACGACTTGACAAATGTTTTTTTTTTAAATATGATACCCTTACAGTCCTGCTTACCGCAAATAAAATCGAGCATAGAAGCACTGCAGTCAAAAATAGATAAAACGGAATAGCATTACGCGCCTGCAAAGTCAAAAACGGAGCAAAAAGAATTGCTTCAGGAGACTGAAAACTTTGCAAATGAGTGTAAGTATTCTGAAACCTTACGAGATGCAGCAGGTTTTGCATATGTTGTGGAAGCGAATCTAGCTGACGCAAAAATAAATATGCGGTACCTGAAACTCAAATTACCGATAAACCATAAGAACCGCGCCTTGGGAAGTGGCCTAATTGGATAGTCCTTATGTTGTGCTCACTAAGAGAGTCGCAACAAAGAAATTACCACTGAACTACCCAATAATACAGAGGTAAAAAAGAGCGTCCCTTCCGCTAAAAAGCTCTAGGGCGCCACTCCTCCGCCTCCATAAAGACACCATATTTTGTTACAAGACCATTCTTATTTCTTAGTTGAAATCACTGCGTTTCCAACAAATCTCTTTTCAAAATGTACTCAACACCTTCTTGTGTAGAATTTTGAGTCGAAAACAACAATGTAACCATTTTGACGCTAGAAGAAGTCGGAGGATCAACATCTCTCATGTCCCATACCTCTTAAAGTAAGATATGGAGCCTAAGCGACTCCTTTTTGTGTATGTATGTAAGCCCATTTCCTGCAGATGTCAGTGTCATGGACCCGATTTAACAAGAGACTGAAATCACTACATTAGTCTTTTATTTACTTATTCGCAGTGATCTATGATCTAAATTTTGACATAGTTAGATTCTAACCTTTTCTATTTGCTCGAAGCAGTGTAACTCCTCGCCCAGCCAATTGCTTTTTTTTTTGAAATTATTCTCCAGGTTGCAGAAAAATAATTGAGATGAAAACATAAACTTTGTAGAAAAACCGAGCTCCCCACACCTCTTTGACGATCTCTCAAACAAATAGGGGGAATCATTTATTACTTTGATATAGTTCGAACATCATTGAAACAAAAGAGATCATTTCACTCACTCGACTTATTATTACGTCTGCAGAAACAGAAATTCAGAGGCGAGATGATAAAAGCTAGAGAGAGCAAAACCCAACAGAGCATAAAGACCGGTGGTGAGGATTCCTCTATGCTTAAAGCACAGTGAATAATGATCAAAGGGCTGCAACTGAGTCGAACAGATGAAGAGGATGTCCTAGGGTTGACCACTAAATTACGCGTATTGAGAATGGTACAACTTCAACAGCATAAGTGAATTATAAGTTCTTCAGTTTATACTTCTTAAAAATTGCCTCACTTCGCAGTTCTGTGAAGAACAACTAAACTTACAAATACTTTCGAATTACATCTCTTTCTTTGTGGAGAACTGTACGTGAAACGAGTGACTGAAGTAACATTCCGAGCGCAGCACGATCCACGGGTATATCCCATTTTTCCTCGCACTTCAATGATCAGAAAGTTTTTAACAACAATAGCAATACCAGATTGTGAGAGGAAAAAATGCAGATATAGCTGTTTCATTTATGTATACAACTACGAACATGTGAAAGGAAAATTAACTACCTTGACAAATCCAGCTTGAGCAATGAGATGATTAACAAGTTGAGTTGTTGTGGAATTTGGCCGACGATGAATTGATTTTATGCGAACTAACATATCTTCTGCAAAAGAAAGCTTGTAGGGCAAGAACAGCTTTCGTCGCCTAACAAAGCGGGCTGCTGAATCCGATTTAGAAACGTGCCTGCAGCATTAACAACTTCGTCAAAGACCTCATCAACAATCTCAGTATTTTTAGAGCTCTCAGCAACAACCGCAGCCAATCTCAGTATAAGACGCGCCGTCTCCTCTTGTGTAGCAGATTCAAATCGGTCCTAAACCTAACGCTTATTGTCATATGCTCATAAATTAATAAAAGTGCTCACTTTCGAAGCTTCTATATCGTTCATGCACATCTGAAGAAGTCGACTAGGGTCATCGTTCTGCAAAGGATTCCAAATGTGGATATAACCTTCACGATAGGCTAAGCTTAAGGCTACGTTACCCCGTCATCGGATGATTCTTCATCGATATCCGTTTTTTCTCCTTTCCCGTCGTCCTCAAACTCACTATCGCTGTCCTCTGCACTTCTCCGCTCTTCATCGTCAGAACTTAATGAGCCTTGGTCATCGCTGAAAAAAAAA